CTCAGAATTTTTCTAAAGATACTTTATTCGATGCAGAATTTGATGCTGATCGTGAATATCAGGTCAAAACTGGAAAATAGTTAAGTTTTGATCGAAAAAAATCGATTTTACTGACAGGTGGCGTCAGTGACCTGGTTCATTAAAACCTGGTTCATACGCGCTAGAGAATTGTGTTAGTCATTCCAACGCGTTAGAATTTTCATTTGTATGATTAAACTATCTCATGGGATTGTCTTTCAAAAAAATTAATTCTTTTTTAGTCTGGATAGTCTGAAGAACATTCTTGTTTCGTCTTCTTTTCGCTAATGAACAACCTATATATATGTTGTATTGGAAATCAAAATCTAGGACGATTTAAAATTCCCGTAGGGAAAATCAAAATTTCGAGTTCTACTGAAAGAATGTCAATAGAAATCAAATTTTGACTTCCCCTATAGGGCAATTTTAAACTCCTCTAAAGAGTGTTTTATTGGTCTTTAGCATACTGATATTAATAGTTTATTTAATTACGGAATAATTATTAATAATTTAATTGATACTTTATTAAAGCTTATACATTCACACATGGACATTTTTTCTTTTGATGGTACTTTGTACACCATAAAACACCTTTAGATTTACATGCACAAGCTTTGGTTGAACACGTTTAACGTATTTTGCGATCATAACTGAACTTTTACTTAATCAAAAGAAAATTACAAAATTGACAAGCCTGAACGATGCCTAGATTTATAATAATAATTTATATATTCGAATATAACCAAACTAATTAATTAATAAATACGTTTTGCATGGGGTATTCTCGTTTCGTCGACAAATCGGCCACTTCAGAGAATGTAGAGTGTAGAACATCACAGGCAGGAGGGGCGGTGTGAGAGTGAGTTATCGACGAAACAAGAATACTTCGTTTTGCATAGCTTAAAACGCTAATCAATTATTTAATTAATCATATATAATCAATTAATTTGAAAACAGAGAAACATTCTATCATGCCTTATAAATATGTCCTATATTCTTAACTCATTTTAGTGTCCTAGCCTTATTTTACATGGATACATTTTATCAAAAGTTAGATTCTCATATACAAAATCTCTCCGAGCGATATTGTTCAAAGTACATAATTAAACAAGAAACGTATGATGATATAATAACAGCTTTGAAATATAGTAAAGATAATGCATAGTTTAAATTCTGGGTTAAAAATTTTAAATTAGTGTAAATTGGTGATGTTGAAGTGGTAAATTGTATCAAGAGTAACCATCCTGTTCTTGTACATGAGCAGTTGTATAGAAAAATTAAGGAATGTTACGAACGTGTTGATCATCATGGATGGGACAAAACCTATAGTGAACTACGTTTTCAAGGTAACTAAAACTAAACCCATTAAAATGACGACTTTTGATATTTAGATTCAAGAATAATATTTATACATACCCTATGATGTACTAAATTATTTGTTAAACAATGTGATGTTTGTAATAGTAGACAAGCTTTTCCAAAGCCAATATCAGGTAAGATCTCTGGTTTAATTTTTTTAATTGAATCTACAGTGAACTCGATTTTTGTTTCTCGTTATGGTAAACCAATAATATCTGTTTGATATTTAACACGTGTACAAATGGATTCAATCGATATGCGTAGTCTTCCAGATGGAGAATTCAAATTTTGGCCTTAGAAAACTTTACCTAAGACAAATAGAAAATGTATATTGTGAACTTCAGAATAAGAAATGAAATTAGATACATACATCTATGTACACATTTTCGTCATTTCCTTTTCCAGAAAGAGGTAGAAACGTAAAGATCTGTTATCCTGTTAATATGCGTTATTTTTGTTTGTTTTTCATATTTTAGATTTCTCAAAACAATGAGCAAAGACAATCAATGTGTCAATGTATTCGGTGTTTCTTGATAGAAATATTTTTAGTCTTCTTCCACTATCTTACAAATTCACTTAATTTGCTTCGAGATTTCGATGGACTTAATCGTGTCGTCTGGATGAAATTCTAGCTGAACAACATCATGTTTCAGTTGCAATTGTTCTTGGTAGAATAGAACAAACAGAAAAATTAAATCATGATTATTTATGTTCAACTAGTTATTTCTTGTTATTGCAAACAAATTCAATATTTCTAAATTTAGATAGGTATTGGTCATTATTAAAATCAAATGATTATCTATTTCGATGAATTTATTAATCTTCGTTCATTTATAATGATTTCTGCATCAGAACAACAACGTAAACATTACCATTTGACTGTAATAGAATTATTTCAAATTCTTTTTTGTACTAAAGAGAGCAGTTTACACTTAAGTTAACACTGTGTGATGCAGTTAAAAAATTTGTAGCTTTTCCTGTTAGACTTACTGTGCCAAACATCAAAGATGAATCTTAAAAATGAATATACAATCGGTAGAGAATTAAATTGTCTATCATTTGGTATAGTAATGAATTTCTTTTTCTAAAACGATTTGTAAAGTCATCGTTCTAGAAATCGTTTCAGAACTTGTGGGACACCCTTTATATCATTGATTCAGGAATTAAAACATATGGAAATATTAAAAGTAGATGGAGTAGACATTAATAAAAAAGTAAATACCAAATAAATATCAATGATCATCATTATTTAAAAAATGTTATTCACGTAAGTAAATTGGCAGGCTTGTAACCGCTGTTTTAAAAAGAAAACAATAATAAAATAACTCTCTTAATTAACTACCGTGTCTTAACATGTTTCTATATCAGTTAGAAAATAATTCACGAATGATAATGAATACACCATCTAGATCGCCAAATCTTGAATCATTAACAATTCAATGATAAGATGAGTCAGTTTCATCATTGTTACAAAAAATTACCAAAATTAATATCTTTAAATATAGAAGCAACTGAAGATTTATTATGGTCATCTGCTGTTTCTCAAGTCGTTCATTCAAGTTTAATTCGTCTTGATTTAAATATTTATTATATCTACAAACATGATGAGTTTTTGCACGAATTTTGGTCTTTTTATTGTTTTTTGTTTAGTCATTTTCTTTTGTAAAATGTTCATAAGATGATCTGGGGAATTACACAATGTAGAAAAGATTTGAAAACGAAAAAATTTTCTGAACGCTGCGGATTGAATATTCGTTTTTTTTAAAATGACGAAAAATATGTGATAAACTTAGAAAATTTTCATATCTTTATTGTTGAAGAAAAAACAAATTTTATGCGTTGTAAGTTTGAGAGTGACAATCATTTTTCAATATTTTTCTCTGTCTTTCTACGTGGTTTTACTGAAAACAGTTTGCGACTAAAACGCGTAACTGCCACCCTCAGCTGCGGTGGGTTGAGCGATATTTTTTCTCTCAAACCAGCCTCAAAAGCACATTGCTAGACGCAGTCTTTTGCGCTGATTACGAATATCAACTTTAAAACGCACGAAACTCAAATTTTTAAATCGAAAATTCAAATTTAAACTTGAGTAGTCTTTTTACTTCAATTTTTTGACCTACTTAGCTTTTTGAAAGATTTCAAAAGTATATCAATGGATAGAGAATTAAATTCTCTACAAAATGCACTATTGATTTTGTCAAAATAATCTCAAAAAGCGCATCTTACACACTAAACACGTTTTGGCTGGTTTTTTGCCCGAACTTTTTTGCCGAATTTTGCATAAAAACCGTTCTACTTAACCGACTCATTCAAAACTTTTACCACAGACCAAGCATTGTATCGCACATCTCTGATAAAAATTTCATCATCTTTTGTCCAGTATTTGAGGAGAAACAGAGCCCAAAATGCAATCTAGTTATAAAATGAGTATTGTAATTTTTTATGAACTTCAAAAGATATTGATGCGAACATAAAATCTGAAAATATTTAAATATAAACCATATCAATATTCGTCCGACTCGTTTAATCCGTCAATATTACATTTTTACTTTATATTTATAACTAGAGTAGTCTTTACGTCGTCTATACCCTCTAATCTTGACGTTGAATTGTCTCTAGTCACATGAGACTAATACCCAAACTGCTATATGTTATGGCGAAGAAATACTATTCACAAAATATCTCAAAATATGAAGATGATAAAAAAGGAATCAATAAAATCGTTAATAAAATTGTTTATCCATCACGGCAAAATGAAAGGTAACGTCAGATTTTTTGTTACAGTGAAAAAATACAGGAAATGTTTACATTTTTTATGTATATTTGAGAGCATATTATGAAACTTAGAATATGATACTCTGATGTGGAAATTTAATTGTTGTTAATTACCGACTAACAAATTAGAATTCAAGTGATAATTTCTCCTACAGAAGTCCGAAAATCGCCTGTGATTTAACGTTTGCGCTTAACAGCTGTCGCTTAGGAATGTTTATTAGTATTATGAGAGTAGTTATATACTGACTAATTCTTACAACTATCTTTATCGTGTACAACTCATGTGTTATAAGTTACTGGATGAAAATTTTTATTATACTCTAGTTTATGTAGATATAGGATGCGCGCGCAATGTTTTTCATGAAACACTAGTTTTATAAACTTCGATAAACTGAAGCTTTGTTTGTGTTATTTTGGTTTTTTTTCTTCAAATGGGTACATGTTCTTCTTCCCATGATGAAGAGCGTCTACCTTTCAATTCTCCTTCACGTGCTAAAAGCGGCGATCGTTCAGTTGTATATCGTTCTCTAGCGACTATGATAGCACCTGTACACGATATCACAACATTAGCACAACTCGATTTTTACAATAATAAAAATGAAGGACATTTAGTTGTTCTTGATTGTCATGCTAAATGGTGTCCACCGTGCATTAAGATTGAGCCAATAATTAATGAATGGGCACAAAGTGCCGAATATTGTGACACAGTTGTATTTCTCAAATGTGACGTAGATCAGGGAGAAGAACTACAACATAAATATAAAGTAGAATCTTTACCAACATTCATCTATTTTAAGCACGGAAAAGAGATACATCGACTTGTGGGAGCTAACGTTAGACGACTTAAACAAGATATCGACATATTCAGATAGACAGTCATGTTTTTAGACTCGTAATCCGAAATGAAAGAAATGTTGAAAACTTGTACTTGTTCTCTATCTGACTAAGATTAATTATGATCTGTTACTTGAAATGGGTTGATATTTTATTCCTAGTAGCCAAAAATTAATTGAAAAATGTTTCATTCTTGTCATATTTTAAATTTCCATGGATTTATTAATGGACGCACTACAAATTCGATTGCGTCATATCTCTAAATCATCTAATTTTGTTATTCTTACTTTATACTTTATCCACAACACTCCATCAATGTTAGGGACTTCTGAGCCCTCGTCCGTCCGAGGATGCGACGAGGATTCGGAAGTCCCAATTATCTCTGTTCGAAGGCTTGCCACCTATCTGAAATTCGAGGGCTCGAAATCGATAACTCCTCGAACGCTTATATCTAGGGTCCGGACTCTCATTTTTCGAGCCCTCGGCGAGGACCCATTGAGAGCATATTTTCGGGCACTCGAAATACCCTCGGACAAGTGGTCGAGATAGCTCACTTTAATTTCGGTGTTTGTTAGATCGTCAATTTTATGCCCGATTTTTATATCAAGTGCTGTGGATAAAGTATAAAGTAAGAATAACAAAATTAGATGATTTAGAGATATGACGCGGTCAGATGGTTGATAATGCTTTTGAGAAAGCCATTGCCAAATTTGCAAACGAGTTGAAAGAACACAAGACTCTGACCGAACTTGATCTTGTATCGAACCAAATATCCGCGAGAGAAGGTGAAGCACTAGCAGAAGCACTGACAGTAAACAACACTCTCACTCAACTTCATCTGGGAAACAACGAAATATTCGATAGAGGATGTGAAGCACTAGCTGAAGCACTGAAAGTAAACAACACGCTCACTAAACTTTATCTTGCGGAAAACCGAATAACCGAGACGCGAGGTGAAGCACTAGCAGAAGCACTGAAAGTGAACACAACTCGCACTCAACCGGATATTTGTAAAACGTACTAACACCCCAAACTCCCGAAATTAAAATCTGAAATAGCCAATCAATAGAGCTCGTTTAGTTGAGTCTGCTAACACCCAAAATAATCATTAATAGCTGAGCTTTTTAGCCATTTTTACAAATAAACATCCAGTAACACCCAGAAGAAGGGACACTAACACGCAGTAAAGTATATCTAGTTGATCTACATGAATCCTGCTGGTACGCTCTTTTATGGCTAAAAAGCTCAGCTATTAATGATTATTTTGGGTGTTAGCAGACTCAACTCAATGAGTTCTATCAATTGGCTATTTCAGATTTTAATTTCTAGGGCGTATGGGTGTTAGTGGGTGTTAGCACGTTTTACAAATATTGCAGTCAACTTGATCTTGGATGAATCCAAATATGAAGCGCTTTTTTGCAGATATACGAGCTAGATCGCATTCCTTGCATTGACGATGAGACTCCAAGGAGAGTTAGTACATTTATTCAGTTCGTGGCATGGAGCTATGATCTCGGAAGCTAGATCAGAACTGATGAGCTCTGGTTCGCGGACAAATGACATTGTTCAGTAGCCATGAATAATGTAGAAGGCGCAATGTGAAGTCTGACTTTTAACTAAAGCGTTTTCAAATCTTTTCTGTCTTTATAAACGTCGGTAAAGATGAGCGCAAGTTTTGAAATAGACTTATTGTCGCTCGAGTCACTGTTAAAGTATTATATGTTAGTACTACAAATGCATATTCGTAGCTTATAAAACATAGAATGTAGGTAACGTTGGTATTTAAAAACTTAGTCCCAAAACCATCAGTAGTTTGTTTGGGTTTTTCAAGCTCATCGCGGCACGCATTCCACTTTTCATATGTTTCTATACTTAATTCATTGTCAACTTCATCCAATACCAGTGACTCTTGGTATACGTCTTTTAGTTCATTGTTATTCCGGCATGAACCTTTGATCGAGGTCAGTTGTATCTGTCTTTAACATTGCTGTTGTGAACTTCTTTACGATAACAATGATGATAATATTGATTGTGTTGACGATATTTGATGTTCATTTTGTATTGAATGTTGTCGCTATTATTGAGTCTCTTGACTATGGTTGATGATCTTTGAAAAAATATTTATTGTTATATTCTAAATACAGAAAAAGTACAAATTTCATTCATCACATGTTTTTCCTGGAATCAAATAATGATGTTTCCAAAAGGAAACGAAAATTGCATATAGTTTTGCATTTCAATGTTGAAGCCAGTCTTCAC